CCGATCGGCGCGGGCCCTTGGCCCCCCCCCTTGTCGCCCCCCCCCTCCATAGACCAGATTTGGCTGGTTTGGTCGGCTGTTTTTGGGCGACTGGTCAGGAGCCCCACCCCCAGTCAGCGCGCGCGCTTGGCAGCGGCAGATCGACGAAGCACCGGCTCAGACCCAGACCCTGTTCTCCCCCACCCTTTCGGCCAAATGTTGAAACCCAGAATGAAAAAGTCATCCTGGCGAAGGACCCAACCATAATGGAGGATGACGATAAATAAATGACCGGGGGTCGTGTTCACGCGGCGGCGCCCGGGATGACGATTAGAAAAAACCGGCCGCGGGCTGGAAAACTATTTTTTATCGTTCTCCCCCAGTCAAAAAAAATTATGCAGAAATAGCAGGAAACTAATTTGTTTAATCGTTCTCTCCAATGCTTTAAGTTAATCGTCACCCCGCATTGTGCAGCTGTGAGTACCGCGTTGTGTGTACCGCTCTCGGTGGAGCCCCCTATGCGGCCACGATCCTCGTGAGGCGTGTGCCGAAATGGGCGGGGGGGGGCGCATGCAAACCCTGCCGCAGGGGCCTTCGGTGGAGCTCCCTACGGGGCCACGATCCTCGGGAGAGGTGTGCCGAAATGGGCGGGGGGACGCATGCAAACCCTGCCGCTGGGGCCTTCGGTGGAGCTACCTATGGGGTCACGATCCTCGGGAGGGGTGTGCAGACACATGCAAACCCTGCCGCTGGGGCCTTCAGTGGAGCTCACCATGGGGCCGCGATCCTCGTGAGGGGTGTGCCGAAATGGGCGCGGGGACGCATGCAAACCCTGCCGCAGGGGCCCTCGGTGGAGCTCCCTATGGGGCCACGATCCTCGTGAGGGGTGTGCCGAAATGAGCGGGGGAACGCATGCAAACCCTGCCGAAGCGGCCTTCGGTGTGGGGCCACGATCCTCGTGAGGGGTGTTCCGAAATCGGCCGTGGGACGCATGCAAACCTTGCCGCAGGGGCCTTCGGTGGAGCTCCCTATAGGGGCCGCGATCCTCGTAAGGGGTGTGCCGAAATGGGCGGGGGGACGCATGCAAACCCTGCCGCAGGGACCTTCGGTGGAGCTCCCTATGGGGCCACGATCCTCGTGAGGGGTGTGCCGAAATCGGCGCAGAAATCAGCGGGTGGACATGCGGCGAGCAGAAGCAGGAATGGGAGGAAGGAGGAGGGGGAGGAGGAGGAGGAGGAGGAGGAGGAGGAGGAGGAGGAGGAGGAGAGGAGACGCGGGGCGCTGTCTCTTCAAACCGAGGGCCCAACACCACAGGATGCTTGGGGAACAGACATAACAAACAACATAGTTTTGTTTATATCTACAAATAAAACAGAAAATATATCAATATTAAGAAAAAACAAAACAAAAACAATTAGCCTCGCGAAGGACCCAACCATATACAGTTGTAAGTACCGCAGTTGTGGGTATCGTCTTAGGTGGAGTTCCCTATGGGCCACGGAACGCTCTACTGGGCGGGGGAGACGCATACGAACATCGCCACCGGGGCGCAGGAGAACTTCGCCATGGGGCCTTCAATGGAGCTCCCTTTGAGGCAACGCAACGCCGTGCTGCGTGGGGGAGACGCATGTGGACACCACCTCTGGGGCCATTGGTGGAGCTCCCCATGGGGCCACGAAGCGCTATGCTGGGTGGGGGAGACGCATGTGGACACCGCCACTGGGGCCTTCAGCGGAGCTCCCCATGGGGCCACACAACGCTGTGCTGTGTGGGGGAGACGCATGTGGACACCGCCACTGGGGCCTTCAGTGGAGCCCCCTACGGGGCTGTGCTGCGTGGGGGAGACGCATGTGGACACTGCCATCTGGGCCTTAGGTGGAGTTCCCCATGGGGCCACGAAGCGCTGCGCTGGGTGGGAGAAACGCAGGTGGACACCGCCACTGGGGCCTTAGATGAAGCTCCCCATGGGGCCACGAAGCGCTGTACTGGGTGGGGGAGACGCATGCGGGCAATGCCACTGGGGCCTTGGGTGGACCTTCCTATGGGGCCACGAAACGCTGTGTTGCGTGGGGGAGACGCATGTGGACACCGCCGTCTGGGCCTTAGGTGGAGCTCCCTTTGGGGCAACGCAACGCCGTGCTGCGTGCGGGAGACGCATGTGGACACCGCCACTGGGGCCACTGGTGGAGCTCCCCATGGGGCCACGAAGCGTTGTGCTGGGTGGGGGAGACGCACGTGGACACCGCCACTGGGGCCTTCAGTGGAGCTCCCCGTGGGGCCACGAAGCGCTGTGTTGCGTGGGGGAGACGCATGTGGGCACCGCCGTGTGGGCCTTAGGTGGAGCTCCCTACCGGGCAACGAAACGCTGTGCTGCGTGGGGGAGACGCATGTGGACCCCGCCACTGTGGCCATCGGTGGAGCTCCCAAAAGGGACCACAAAACGTTGTGCTGTGCTGGGGAGACGCATGCGGACACCGCCACTGGGGCATTTAATGGAGCTCCCCATGGGGAAACGCTGTGCTGTGTGGGGAGACGCATGTGGACACCTCCACTGGGGCCATCGGTGGAGCTCCCCATGGGGCCACGAAGCGTTGTGCTGGGTGGGGGAGACGCATGTGGAAACCGCCACTGGGGCCCTAGGCCCTAGATGGAGCTCCCTATGGGGCCACGAAGCGCTATGCTGTTGGGTGGGGTAGACGCATGCGGACACCGCCACTGGGGCCTTCAGTGGAGCCCCCTACGGGGCCATGAAACGCCGTGGGGAGACGCATGTGGACACCGCCACTGGGGCCTTAGGTGTAGCTCCCCATGGGGCCACGAAGCGTTGTGCTGCGTGCGGGAGACGCACGTGGACACCGCCACTGTGGCCTTCGGTGTAGCTCCCCATGGGGCCACGAAACGCTGTGCTGTGCAGGGAGACGACGACGAAGACATGCGGAGGGCAGAGGCAGGGATGGGAGGAGGGGGAGAAGGAAGGAAGGAAATCAGGAAGGAAGGAACGCGGGGACCGTCTCTTCAAAACGAGGACCCAACACCACAGCATGGCTGGGAAGAAAAATCATTCACTGCGTGGAGCTCCCCATATGTGCATCTCTTTGCATTGGTATTTCCGCCGTGAATGCCTAGGCGCAAGAAACTTCGAATGTCAACGAGCTTGGACATTGACAGCTTGGGAGAGAGTCTGACTGTCAATGACTTTGAGTGTGTGTGTGTGTGTGAGCCCCAGTAGTACGAGTGAGGCTATGCGCGTGAGCCTGCGCATGGCTAAGCTTAGGGTGAAAGTATCTGCACGCCAGTGGCCTGAGCACGACTGAACGTGACTGAATCCTTCTGGAGTCTCTTGGGGCTTCCTGGGGCTTCCTCAAGTTTCCTGGGGCCTCTTGGGGCTGCCAAGGGCTTCCTGGAGCCTCTTGGAACTCCTGGGGCCTCCTGCGGCCTCCTGGAGCGTCCTGGGGTCTCTTGGGGACTCCTGGGGCCTCCCGGGGCATATTGGGGACTGCTGCTCCTCAGCTTCCTGGGGCTTCCTCTTGGGGCGTCCTTGGGCATTCCTGGCGCTCCCTGGGGACTGAGCCTCCTGAGACCTCCTGGGTCCTTCCTGGCGTTTCCTGTGGCTTCCTCTGGCCTTTTGGAGCCTCCTGGTACCTCTTGTGGTTCCCTGTGGCTTCCTGATGTCTCCTGGGACCTTCTTGGGCCTCCTGGGCCTTCCTGGAGCCTCCTGTGGCCTCTTGGGGACCCCTGGGGCATCCTGAGGCATCTTGGGGACTGCTCCTCCTTCTGAGGCCCCTTGGGGCTTCCTTGGGAATCAGATGTAACAGATGTAAAATACGTAAAACACAACGGATTCGTGCCCCACAGGACGCCCAAACTATAGGAACACACGTCAAACACATAGGATTGGAGCAACTGGAGAAGGGCTATATACAGGAACAGACGTAAAACACTAAGGATTCGTACCCCAGAAGAGGCCTGGTCTGTAGGAACATACGTAAAACCGCTCTAGACATCCTCGCAATCTGGGCCCCCTGGAGTACGAAAACAGCAGCGCCTCGCACTTGACATCCTCCAGATCTGATCCGAAAGTAAAGGATGCTGGGTCAGGAAACACGCAAACCGCTCGAGACATCCCCGCAATCTGGGCGCGAACGGAGGCCGTGCAACACTCGTGGCGCCCCCCATTAGGAGCACTAAGACCAGCAAACCGCTCGAGACATCCTCAGAATCTGCTCTGAGCGCAGACGAGTCTGGCCACCAAAACGAGCAAACCGCTCTAGACATCTCGTAATCTGGGCCGCCTGGGGTGCGATAACCAGCGCCTCGCACGAGGCATCCTCAGAATCTGCTCCGATAGCGGGGGATGTTCGCGGCCAAAACAGGCAAACCGCTTGAGACATCCCCGCAATCTGGGCGCGAACGGAGGCCGTGAGATACCCTTGGCGGCCCCCCTTAGGAGTGCTAAAACCAGCAAACCGCTCGAGACATCCTCATCATCTGCTCATCGTCATCACCACCACCACCACCACCACCACCACCATCATCATCATCATCATCATCATCATCATCATCATCATCATCATCCGTCATTCATCATCATCATCAGCATCATCATCATCCTCGGCATCATCAGTATCATCATCATCAGCATCAGCATCATCATCGTCATCCTCGTCATCATCATCAGCATCATCATAATCATCATCGTCATCATCATCATCATCATCATCATACCCATCCACCGTTCACCATCACTCAACAGAACCAACGAGGGAAGGAAGGGATGATGATGAGGGGTCCGGCGTGGTCTGAGAATGACAAGAACCCCATCCTTTAGATATGGGGAAGAAACACCCACACAAAGAAAACAAAAGACTAAAAACACACACAGAAAACAACAAAAAAACAACAACAACAACAACAACAACAACAACAACAACAACAACAACAACAACAACAACAACAAAACGCGTACCTGGGCCATGAACCGCCCCCTCCCCTTTTGCCGCCCTGTGTCCGCCCTGCCCCAGGCTGCGGGCCTGGGCGGGGCGACGTGAGCCGTCGGGCCCTCTGCTGGCCCCTGGCGCGGGCCAGCCCCGAAGCGGCCCGGGCCGCGCCAGCCGCTCGCGAGAGCCTTGGGGGAGGAGGAGGAGGAGGAGGTAGGAGGAGGAGGAGGAGGAAGGAGGAGGAGAGGAGGAAGGAGGAGAGGAGGAGGAGGAGGAGGAGGAGGAGGAGGAGGGAGGAGGAGGGAGGAGGAGGAGGAGGAAGGAGGAGAGGAGGAGGAGGAGGGGAGGAGGAGGAGGAGGAAGGAGGAGGAGGAGGTGGAGGAGAGGAGGAGGAGGAGGAGGAGAGGAGGAGGAGGAGGAGGAGGAGAGAGGGAGGAAGGATGAGAGGAGGAGGACAAGGAGGAGGAGGACGGAGGAGGAGGGGGAGGAGGAGGAGGACTGAGGAGGAAGGAGGGACGGAGGCGGGGACCGACTCCGCTCCCCCAGCCCCGACGGAGGAGAAGGAGGAGGAGGCTGTTGTTGTTATGGAAAGACCTGGAGTCAAATAGAAAGCTTAAAAACCTCGCCCTCAGAATCGGAGGACCCCTCGTCCTCCAGGTCCTGGGGGGCAGTCCTGGCCGCCTCGCCCAGGGCCTTGACCATGTGAAGGTTGCCCTCCTCGAGGCCGAATGCCAGCAAGACTTCCTCGTGGGACGCAAAGCCAGCAGCCTGGCACATCCCTGCAAGTGCGGCGGGGGCAGGCTGAGGGAGGACTCGAACTATCATCAGATCCATATCAGCCTCGCTAAGGCCGCGGGAGCAGGTCAAAGCTAGATGCTTGGACGTGGTTCGACCGCGAGGGTATTTGCCTGCTCTGATACAGATGGGACTTGACCTGAGGCGATCCGGGGTGCCCCTTGCACCCAGACATCAGAAGCTGGCCAGGCCTAGTGTCTTCACAAAAGGCACCGCACCGACCCCAACACAGCATGCCGCTGGGGAGATTCGATCTCGCAACGCATCAGGGCGTGCCCCTTCAAATAAAAGGCAGGGGTGGCCACTTCGGCCCATCCCGATCACCAACCCCGTTAGCCCAAACATCGTCACCACCACCCCCACCCCCGTCATTATCACGAGGCCGTAGCTCTGGGTCGGACACAGGCGGCTGCCGTTCAATTGAAACGGGCACAGGCTGGGCCTCGTCAGGATCATATCTCACAGGGTCCAGCCTGGTCTTGTCAACACATTACAAGTGCATTTCAAGTTGGGCAGCCCAGCGGGCCGCCTCCTTAGCCAGACACTTGAAACCGTTGTCCAGATTTACGTCAGCCTCCGATACAGCATGCTTGGCAGCGCCCAACTTAACATACATATCGGTTGACTCGTTGGCTTTCTTTTCCCACACCGTGGTCTTGCCATTGTAGACATCAGCGACGGTGCCGTGCGCAGCTGTCTTCGCAGCTGTGAAATCCGACAACCCAGCGGTTGGACCAAAATGGCGCCTGGAGGTCGGGACCTGGGACCTCCCGCCGACGCCCCCGAAGAACCGGCACCACCCCAAAGAACGTCCAGGGTTCTTTGGCAGTCACAGTGCAAGAGGGAGGAGGAGGAGGAGGAGGAGGAGGAGGAGCAGAAGAAGGAGGAGGAGGAGGAGGAAGAGGAGGAGGAGTGTGGAAGAGGAGGAGGAGGAGGAGGAGGGGGAAGGGGGAGGAGGAGGAGGAGGAGGAGGAGCATAAACATTGCATAGTCCTCACCGCCCTTGGCCGCCCGCCCTCGAGGAGGGGGCGGCCAACCGCAGCAAGCAGCTGCCGCTTGCCCGAGGTTGCTCGCTTGAACAAGGGCCCGGCCCGCCGTGGGCACCCCGGCGAGCCCGCCGCGGGTGGTGGCGAGAGGGAGGGAGCGAGGAAGGGAGGGAGGAAAGGATGGAAGAGGAGGAGGAGGAGGAGGGAGGAGGAGGAGGAGGAGGAGGAGGAGGAGGAGGAGGAGGAGGGGAAGGAGGAGGCGGAGGAGGAGGAGGAGGGAGGAGGAGGAGGAGGAGGAGGAGGAGGAGGAGGAGGAGGAGGAGGAGGAGGAGGAGGAGGAGGAGGAGGAGAGGAGGAGGAGGAGGAGGAGGAGGAGGAGGATGGAGGAGGAGGAGGGGAGGAGGAGGAGGAGGGCGGAGGAGGAGGAGGAGGAGGAGGAGGAGGAGGAGGAGGGAGGAGGAGGAGGAGGAGGAGGAGGAGGAGGAGGAGGAGGAGGAGGAGGAGGAGGAGGAGGAGGGGAGGAGAGGAGGAGGAGGAGGGGAGGAGGAGGAGGAGGAGGAGGAGGAGGAGGAGGAGGAGGAGGAGGAGGAGGAGGAGGAGGAGGGGGAGGAGAGGAGGAGGAGGAGGAGGAGAGGAGGAGGAGGAGGAGGAGGAGGAGGAGGAGAGGAGGAGGAGGAGGATGGAGGAGGGGAGGAGGAGGAGGAGGAGGAGAGGAGGAGGAGGAGGAGGAGGAGGTGGAGGAGGAGGAGGAGGAGGAGGAGGAGGAGGGGAGGAGGAGGAGGAGGAGGAGGAGGAGGAGGAGGAGGAGGAGAGGAGGAGGAGGAGGAGGAGGAGGAGGAGGAGGAGGAGGAGGAGGAGGAGGAGGAGGAGGAGGAGGAGGAGGAGGAGGAGGAGGAGGAGGAGGAGGAGGAGGAGGAGGAGGAGGAGGAGGAGGAGGAGGAGGAGGAGGAGGAGGAGGCGGAGGAGGAGGAGGAGGAGGAGGAGGAGGAGGAGGAGGAGGAGGAGGAGGAGGAGGAGGAGGAGAGGAGGAGGGGGGAGGAGGAGGAGGTGAGGAGGAGGAGGAGGAGCGAGGAGGAGGAGGAGGAGGAGGAAGGTTGCTCACTTGAACAAGGTCCCGGGCCAGAACGCGGAGCCGTCCGAAAAGGCAGCCCCGACGGGCAGCCTAACGCGGGCGCATGCATCAAATCTCGGGGGCGGAAAAGAGGGGGGTAATGACTAGGGGGGGGGGGAATGTCATGGCGGGGGCCATGATATTCCCCCCGATTTCATGGCGCCTCTTCTTATTTCATTACGTCCCTGGCCCCCCCGCTGGGCCGCGCACATGCCGCCGGTCATGATTTGCACCCCCCCCTCTTGGACACCCCCCTCTTGGCCGCTCCCGAAAATCGATCATGTGTTCAGGCTCCTAAACGGGCACAAGCGCAAGAGGGGAAGGGAACATCGCACGAGCAAGTCTCTCCGCCAGCTCTTCCCCATGCTCCTTGACTCGGGCGGTTCGGCGCGCCAAGTCCCTCGAGACTCCGTCCCTTCGCACTGCCGCGGGAGGCACACACCGATACGCTTGTGCCACAGCCTGCCTCTTTCATCCTTGCAAAGCCTACAGTCACAACTTTGATGCAACCAGCGATTGTGCATCCGAGCCTGCGGCCAGTGCACATTGCTCATGCGGCCCCCCAGGGCCATCTGAATTGTGAACAATACAGAACTCATCACGCACGCGCGCGGGCTGTTCTGACACCAGAACTCACGTTAGCTTCAATATCAGATCCGTCACCGTCGAGGGTTGGTTTCCAAGCCAACATGGCGACTTTCCGATTGTGGACAGTTCAGCACTTGCCACGCGCGCGCACGCGCCGCGCGGATTCGAAGTCCTGCCGGCCACCGCTAGGGTTTCATTTTAGTGTGCAGGACGACATGGCGAGTTTCCGACCGTGGACATCACAGAACCCGCCACGCGCGCGCACGCGCGGCGGGTGGCCCGCCCACCGCGCGGGTCACCCGAAATCCTGCCGCTCACCGCTGAGAGTTCAATCGTGTTCCCAAGCCAGCATGGCAACTGTCTCACTGTGGGCAATACCGAGCTCCCCCACGCACGCGCGCAGGAGATTCCTGTATGGATCATGCTTGAGATCGTACACCAGAACCCGTGCATGTTCAGTTCAAAATCCGATTGGTCATCGCTGAGGGTTCATTTTAGTTTCAAAAACAAGATGGCGATTTTCCCATGTGTGGACAATACAGAACTCGCCACGCGCGCGCGGCGGGTGACCCGCCCACCGCGCGGGAAACCCGAAGTCCTGTCGGCCACTGCTACGGGTTCATTTCATCTCCCGTACCAACGTGGCGACTAGTCGATTGTGCACACTACAGAACTCCACGCGCGCGAGGAGCTTTGCATTGTCCATCGTAGGAAACTTACGTCCAAACCAATGTTGACTTGGACAGCCAAAATGTCAGCGTTCAAGTCGTGACAACAGCCCTAAGCCTTGACAGGCCTCGACGCTGCTCAAAGCTGGCCAAGGGCTGTCAAGGGCTTCAAGGCTTGACAAGGGTAATCAAGGCATGCCAAGGGCTGTCTAAGTCTGCCAGATTCGGCGGATTTGCCATCGGCGAACGGACGTCGATTGAAAAGGAGCTCGACAAATGCGCCCGCCGCTCCCTTTCCAGGAGATGCGCGCTGGAATGCTAGCAGCCCGTTGCTCGTCGACCGTTCGCTTGCAGTGCGACAGGAGGCCAGTTGCATTTATGAGCGAACCTTTGATTTCATGTCACCGAATCCACAAAATACTATTGTCGTGTTTTTCCCCCGCGACCGCGGGGAACGGCGGCGGGCGCGCCCGGCGCGAATCCTGATCAAGTGAAAAACAGTTTGGGCTGCAGCAACTTGAACAGACAATTGGCGCAAACATCCTTCCCTGGCTGCGAGCTCATCTGCAGCAGCCTGCTGCAGCAGGCCTGATCGCTCTTCAACAGACTTGGCCCGCAAGCGCAAGCCGCTCTGAAGCACATGCTGGCAAGCTCAGGCCCCCTGAGCCAAAACGGCTGGGAGGAGGAGGAGGAAGAAGAGAACGAGAAGGAGGAGGAGAAGGAGGAGGAGGGCGACGAGGGGGGAGGAGAAGGTGGAGAAGGAGGGCAGAGGGAGGAAGGGCGGAGGTCGAGGGGCAAGGAGGCGAGGAGGAGGAGGATCAGAAAGAGGAGGAGGCGGAGGAGGAGGAGGAGAGGCAGATAGCCCGCGCGAGCGCCCCCCGTGTGCTTCTTTTCCGTTTAGAGTCGGGCCAAACGGCTGCAGGTTTCCCGAACAGCAGGGGTGAATGTGATGGCATTGCGAAGAGAAGGATGGGAGGACGAGGAGAAGGACCAGCAGCAGAGGAGGAGGAAGAGGCGAAGGAGGACGCGGGTGGGAGGGAGGTTGGAGGACGGGGTAGAACGGTGAGGATGAAGGAAGTAAGAGCAGCAGGAGAGGAAGTGGCGTCCCTGAGGGCTCTACGTCGGCTCCTCTCTGCCGTCTGCTCCTTTCTCTCGTTTTCACCTTCCTCTCACCATCGCCCTCCTGGTGTCGTGCAATCATGGGTCCTCATCGTCACTGTCGTCATCATCATCATCATCATCATCATCATCATCATCATCATCATCATCATCATCATCATCATCATCATCAGTGCAATCGGCATTGAGACTCAAGGCCGCGCCCCCCCCCCCCCCGACGGGCCTCCCCGCCCCTTTTGTCGCCTGTAGAGGGGCACGGCACGGGCTGGACGAGGTGGACGCGGAGGGGTCCTCGGGACGCGCGGCCAAGCGGGGCGGGAGGGGGTCGGAAGTTGCTCCAAGGGGGTGGGAGGCGCGGGTGACGCGCGCCAGGCTTACCAGTGGCGTTCGACCGCGGATCGCAGGGCAGGGGGATCGTGGGCGAAGTAATCGGCGGACCGGGCGGACCGGGGATTGCCCGCTGAGCTGGAGCGCGTGCGCGGCGAGGGCGAGTTGGTCGTGCACTGCGCCACCTCTCTCCGTGGGGATGCCGAATTTGAGGATGGGGTGCTCGGCGCGGGTGGTCGCACACAGCACAGAGAAAGTGCTGAGGATGAGCGTCAACACGCACAGCGACGCGCCAGGGATCGCGGTTGCCATGGACCCGCGGGCGCTGTTTCCACGTGCTCGAGAGGCGACGGGCTGGAACAGCGGTCGGGGAACGGCGAGGCCCGCTTCCTGCAGGAGCTGCTCGGCCCGCTCCCACGCGCCTGCCCTGCGGGGCACCTCTGGAGTGGCCCGCCCCGTCGGCGGCGGAGGGTCGGGGCACGAACGCCGATGGTTGCGAGGCCCCTCCGAGGAGCAGCAGGAGAAGGAGAAGCCTCCTCCTCCTCCTCCTCCTCCTCCTCCTCCTCCCCCTCCTCCTCCTCCTCCTCGTGGCAGTGCCGCGTGGCGTTGCCTCTCGGCTTCATCACCAGCGCCAGCTGGCGCCAGCGGGGGCCCGGTGCCGCCAGAGGCCCGAGCGGCGGCACGAAGACCGCCAGCCGTCGAGGGCGGGGGGGGCGCTCGGCGACGGCGTGTCGCGGAGGCAGAGATGCGGGGCGGCGGCGCGGGCTCCGGGGCGGCGCCGGCGGGCGGGTCGTCACCACCGCAGTAGGGCGTGGCAGTCCCCAGAACCCCCTTTGGAAAGCCCCCCCAAAACCCGCCCTCCAGGTTTCTTTTTGGTTTTTTGGGGGGGTCACAGCATCTAAACTCGCTGGGAAGATGCAAGGCAGCTCCTTCTCAAAACGGGGCTCACACCTGAATGACAGGCCCGCAGGTGATCGTCTTTCAAGGGGGGGGGCTTATGGTAGTGAATATTCAGGCTTGTATGGACTTATGAGGAGGGGACATGGAACGAGAGGGTGTGTTACAGCATCGTTGATGCATCCTGGGTAAACTCTGGTCCTCTTCCTCCTCGGCCTCCTCCCTCATTCCTCCTCGGCCTCCTCCAGGAGCTCGCGCAAGAAAATGCGTAGGAGGTGAGAGACGATGAGTGGAAGGAGGAGACGGAGATCAGGCGGAGGCGCAAGAGTGGAAGTAGGACGAGCAGGGAGGGACGAGAAAGAGGAGGACGAGGGGGAGGATGTGTGGCACGGGAAGGGGGAAGACGAGAAGAAGGCAGAAGGAGGAGAAGGAGGGGGAGAATCGAGAGGG